TTATTGTAATATAATTATGATTTTGAATAGTTAAACTATTATGCTATAGCCTTTTACTTTTGTTATTCATTAAACTTTACCTAATAAATAAAAGATTGTATATGTTTAGAATTAATAATAAATAAGTAAATTAGGAATCAAAATTTGTACAAGATTAGAATAAATACTGAAATAAATAAAAGAGAAATACAATGATTACATCATGTTAGTTAAAGGTTACTTTTTTGATGCACTTATGGTTATAAGTTTATAAAAATAGGATTTATACAATATGTAGATCAATATGTAATTGGTAGCAAAACAATACAATAAATGAAATATTTTAAGAACTTAATATTTTTTAAGTTATTTATTATTTTTTTTCCTTTTACATATTCAAACCTTTCTACTACAATAAAAAAACCTTTTTTTTCTCCAATATATATGAAATATGATGTTCTTTGTGCTGCTTTTTCAGAAATGGACCAAATATAAAGTGAACTTTCAGTTTATTTAAAAGTTCATTGAAGGAGATAAATACATCTGAAAAACAGCTTCAAGGAGCAATAGTTTTTATATTTATTTTTTTAAATTTTTTTTATTTTATAAAAGCTTTCTTTAAAGATCTTAACCTAATAATCCTGCCTAATACCTTTAAGGTAATTATTTAGAGACTTAGGATGCAAGACAGCTAAGTAATAAAAAGTGCTAATGGTGGTCTCTTTTACTAGTAGCTCTTTTATCTAAATATATAATATGTTGTACTCTAGGCTTTGAAGAAACTTTTTTAAATAATTTGCACTTATTAATCAGAGCCTTGAATAATATTTCATATTATTAGACAATGTTATTCATATTATTTATTGCATATGTTCTATATAGGATACAACTTAAGATTGTTATAAATCTAGTCATAGAATATACTACTACATGGTGGCTAGGATAAGTAAGCTAATTATTTAGCTGAAACTAAGTATTTTTCTAAATAAGTGTTTTTATTTTTTTTTTTTATTTTTTTTTTTTTTGTTTTAAGGCTGATGTTAATGGTGGCTAATGCCTTTATTGTGTTTTTAGTGAATACATTATATATTACATGTACAGGATGAGCGTACAACTAGCCACATATATAACTTTTGGTTACCTATTTAAGTAGTCTGGCCAAGGGTTCTACACTAGCTGCCATGCCTATAATCTACTAGGAGACTATCTAATTAAATACTCTGATTTCTATACTACACCCAGACAATTAGCGCCTGGTTCTTGTACACCTAAGTGCCATCTAACCCAACATTTAGCCTCTTTTCTGTACATCTGTCAAGCTATTATACAATTATTTTCAGAGCACAACACCTGAGTATAAGGCTCTGGGGGCCCTCCTGTTAACTACCTACCCATCTACAGAACATTAACAGGACTTGCTCTTGCAGAGTTCGTCCAAACCCTAGCACTTACTTCACAGCATATTCCTAGTACTTTTAGTATACCCTTGCTTTTTCTCCAAACTCCCAATCCAGATAGCCCAGTAGGACTATAACCAGCCCATTAGTATATCAGGTCGGCCTGATATTCTTTTCCTCCGGTCCTTCCAGTTAAACTTCTGGCGGCCTAGTTGGTAGTACCCCCCCACCCAGAGGTTTTTGCCCGTCCAGATACTCCATATTGGTATCCGTTTCCTAGGTCTAGCCTTTACAGTAGTACTGTCGAAGATCCATGTTATCTCTCTACTCAGGTCTTCCCAAATGGGCTTCTTGTTCCCTAATTTCTACAGATTTACATGGCTACAAGGACTTATTTTGGGTTTGCACTGCCTGATGCTGGTTTGCATTCCTCTGTGTAACCAGTTACACAGATGCCCTATGACCTGCCAGTCATGCTAGTGCGACCATAATTACAAGTATCTTAACCCAATCATTAGAAACAGTTGCTGTAATATGAGTATTACATAGGTGATTATCCAAATTTCACCGTCTGTGGGTTTTGAACTCACAACCTACTACTTGAAGGGTTGACAACTTATCCACTTCACTAAGTCACCACACCCTAGTGTTTTTATTATATATTAGTTTTGTATTTATTTATTTTTTTTTAATTAATTTTATTTTGAGTATGATTTTTTAAAAAGATATTATTTGCTATTGTTGCTATTAAATTGTTATTATCAAAGTTATTATTAAAGTTGTTTAAGTCTTTATTATATTAATATTACTGTTGAGAAGTTTAGGGTTTTATTATTAGTAAAGATTTTAAATTTTAGCATTGTTGTTGATAGAGTTTGTCATTATGATTTTGTGCTTTTAATGTATATAGATGCAAAATAGCTTGACTAGCTTTTATATTTAGTATAATAAAATTATTTATTTATATTTCATATTTTTACAATCAATAGAATTGCTGTATTTTTTTAATTTATATATTTTTTATATAATAAGATTATATTTATTTATTATAGTTAAATTTATAATAATAGGTTATCAGCTTTTCCCTGACTAAAACCTTTATAAATTCAAAAATTTAGTATTAAAAAGGTCTCAAATTCTTGGTGACAAATTAAACAAATATAATTAAATATTTTCATTATTAAATGTAGTTTATTACTAAAAAGTTTTTTGAAAACCCTAATAAATTGTTATATTAAGCATGCAAAGTCTTATAAGCATAAAAGAAACTCGTATTTGATGGATTCTGAAATTACAGTTACACAAAGTTATTTATATAGGCAATTGAAAAATTGATATACGATAGTAGTCTAAAAACCAGAATTTTTACAATCTGTTTAACCATAATAAGTTTTGGTAAATGTACTTCAATCAATTAATAAAATTTCTTCGCTAAGTGTGTCTTTAACAGAAAATCTTTTTTAATCATTTTCAATTGCTTTCACCAGAAGGTTTTCATAAGAGTGAAAGTAGGCACTTATAAATTATAAGTTTTGTTTATTTTAATATCAGTAGTTTATTTAATATCTAATGAAAATAATTTTATTGAACTATAAGTATAATATATACTAGTTACAGTACTTTCATTACAGGTATGCACCCTCTCGTTTCAGGATCTAAACAACTAACTACTATTGTATGTATTTATTAGCTGACTTTTTTTTTCAAGAATAGTATTTTTGCTTTATAAAAATTGACATGTCTTTTTTGTGTTAGTAACTGATTACTAACACTTTACTTTTCTTCGTTTAGGTTTAATTTGGCAGCTATGATTCTTTTACAGTTGGGTTCACAAAGTTATTAAAGCATCTATTACTTGTCCTTTGCTTATAGTTTCCATACACAAATCCAAATCAAACTCTTTGAATTTGGTTAAATGAAAAAAATATTAAGTTTAGTAGCGATTTTATTCCCATTCTTCTTTGGTGTTTTCATAATAGACTTAATATTATATTAATCCTATTTTGTATTCACTTTTATTGTTTTTGCCACTTGGCAGAAAATATTTTTACAATATGATGATGATGAAAATTTATGAGACTATTTAAGAGCAAACTTTACTATGCTACAGTTGGCAGACAAATTGCAGATTGCCAAAGAAACATTGTATAGTTTTTTGTTCTTACATAGTCTAAATATTATTCATAGAGATATTGTAATTATATTACTATATATTTGTGAGTTTTACATATTGGAGCAATTAAATGTTCTAATATATTTTTAACATATTTTATAGCATTCAAATAATATCTTAATTCATCAAAAACAGCCAAAGATTGCAAATTTTGGATTATCAAAACAGATAAAGAAAATATTCATGATTTCAAACTCGATTGTTCGTAAAATGCTGGCATATGTTGAACATTGATGTCTTTTTAAGCAGGAATATAAATATAACAAGAAGTCAAGAACTAATAGAAGGTACTAAACTTTGAGTCAACATAATCTTAGTAAAGCATTAACTCAAAATAGTGATTCTTTCTTAAGTTGTTAGGACAATCCATTCCTCTTATATCTGGCATTAGAAATTTACAAACAAATTCTCAAGAACAGTCAGCATATTGATTAGAAATAGGTATTCATGTGATATCATTTGCATGAATCAATGATTCATGCAGATTTATGCACACAAAACTGCATGAATCAACTATTCATGCACATGATACCTCATGAATACCCATCTCTAATACTGATAAAGTTTAAGTTAATGCTTCAATTTGGAATCTTTCTAGTAACTGTGAGTTAGAAAAAATAAATGATTTAATATATCATTTCATTTCATTAAATAACATAGCTAAATTTGCTTATCATTGTAAAGTCAAAGTTGAATATATAAAAACAATTTGATCGTATTTGATTTTATCAATTAATTTTTTTTTTATTTAACATGATTAAAGTGCATAAATTAAAAGTTTAAATAATCTATTGGCTTCTAATAAGACTTACTGTAAAAGATAACTAATTTTTTAATAAAATGCAAGTTATACAAATTTTGATATATTTTTTAAAAAAACAGCATTAAGAAAATGAATAAGAACGATATTTCTGTCATCACATTATTTGAATCATGTTATGTAAATTCAAAGATTAGTGTAATCTAACAAAAATAAAATCTTATGAATATTTGTTTTTATGGAGAAAGAAGAATTTAGCTCAAGTTATCTTTACTTAAAAGAGATAGAATTAGTGTTTTTAAGAAAGAATGTGTTACTCTGAAAATATAATCAGATGGTAATTGAAATTAGTGACTTAACCTGTTACAAATTATAGACCAGTGCACAAAATTCTATTGTAAAATACCAGAAGTTCCATTTGATTGACTTCTGGCATATTGTAAGAGTTTCTAAATTTTGTTTACTAAAAAAAAAAGCAGGTTATGACATGCCGAAATTTTGTGCACTGTTACGAACATGCTTTCATTCTAACATATAACTAAAATAAAATTTAATTTAGTTATGATCTACACTTAAAAAATTATATAAAAACCTGCTATTCACATAAATAATTTATAAAAATTTTGTATAGTTATATATTTATAAAATTTTTATTTTATATATTTATTTATTATTTTTAAAAATTTATAAAATGCCTCGTCAAAAACTTACTGGATCTTGTGCTATTAAGAATTGTAATAGTCAAGTTAATTCTTTTAGAAATATAACACAAGATCTTATAGATAAAATTGAAAAATGTTCAGATTTTTCTTATGATTATTTAAAAGTTAATGAAGATCAAATTTGTTATGAACATTATATGAACATTATTAATTTTATAATAAGTCAATCATTCAATAATGAAAAATCTATAACTTGGATAGATTTAGAAGATTTAATTGAAATAAGTAAAATTAGTTTAAATAATTCTAATATACCAATTGATTATTTACAAAATTATAAAAGAAATAATTTTATAGATTTAGATTTAAATAATTTTTCAAATATAAAGATAAAGATTGTTGAAAATAATATAATTTTTAGCAAAAAAAATTTTAACAAATTAATTGATATAATTATTAACCAAACAATTCAAATTTGTAAGTTTATTATTATTATTTAAAAAAAATTTAAATAATTTTTAAATCATATTATAGATTTATAATTTAATTTATTTATTTTATAGCACAACAAAAATCATTTTCTAATTAATTACAATTATTAACAAAAACTTTATATAAATATGAAGATAAAAATAATAATTATTTATTAAATCCTAATTGTTTTAAACAACTAATTGAAACAGAAGAAATTCAATTAATTGGATTTTTAGATGAAATGACTAATGCATTAATACCTAAAAGAAGAACAGAAAAAAATAAAAAAAAAGCATAACAACTTATTAGTCAATGTTATCTTTTAGCAGGATTACGTAATCAAAATATAAATAAATATAAAACTGATCTTAGTTTATATTTATTATCTTGTGGTTTAAGTTCAACTGGAATAGATTTTTTTATGAGAACAGGAATAACAATAAGTTCAAAAACATTATATAATTTTAAAGAAAAAATTAAAAATAATCATTTAACAAAAATTAATGAATATTTTAATTCTCATGTAAGTAAATTTTTATTTATTATTATTATTTTTATATAAATTAATTAATAATATATTATTGTTTTAGTTAAATATGTTTCATTGTTTTAATATTGATGATTTTCATGATATTTATGAATTACATCAACCTAATAATACAACACTTTCATCTGCAAATCATTTAGCAACATGTGTAACTAAATTAATTAAAAATCAACAACCAGTTTTAGCAATTTCAAATGGATATTTATTTTTTAATCCTGAAAATATTGAACCAACTAGGATAATAATTAACTTAATATCTAAATATAATAGATGTTTTGATAAAAGTTATAATGAATGTAAAATGGAATGAATTTCTCAAAATAGTTTTTAATTTAATTCTCAAAATCGTATAGATTTATTAACTTTATATATATATGATAATGCAATTAAAAAACGTAAAGAAGAAAGATCAATGAAAAATATAAGAGTTGTTAAAGTTAAAAAACAACAATTACATTCAATAAGTGATTATTTAAAAGCTCTTAAAATGATTACTAATATTAATTCATTATCACAATATTTAAAAAATAATATAATTTCAGTTATAGCAAATTGGCCAGAACAATTATTTATTAAAAAAATAATTACACAACATAAATTAAATTCAAATTCAATTTCAGATAATATTATTAATCATCCATTTGCTAAAGTATTATCAGATTCTTTAGTAAATTTTAATGATTATTTTGTAGAAAATATGCATAGTCATTTTCGAGCTAATATTAATTCACATAGTATTATTAAAGAAATTAAGCAACAAGCATATATATTAAATTATTATCATAACAAATTTCAACTTGATATTTTTAAATCAACAAAATCTTATATATATAATTCTAAACAATTGGATTATTTAATAAAAAGAAGTAGTTTATTTTTATTAAAACATTTTCAAAAAGTTTATCTTAATCTTAATAATAGTAAAAAAATACAAAATCAATCTAAATATTATATAGCAGAATTAAATGAAAATGTAGAAACTAAATGTCTACCAACAGGATATCTTATATCAAAAAAACTAACAAAAGATATATGTGACAAATGTAACAAAATATTTAGTAAATTAAATAGAAAAGTATATATTTGTGGGCATTCTTATCATATAGATTGTTATGAAAAAATGTATTCAACATGTGATTATTGTTTACAATATTATAAAAAAGGAATTTTTTCAAATATAAATTCTTTTTAAAAAGATTAGAAAAAAATGATAATGATAAATTAACTAAAGATGATATAGATGAAGATTTAGAACCAGAATTAGATGATAATTATAATAATGATAATGATAGTGATGATGATATTAATGATAATAATAATAATAATAATAATGATAATATTACTATAGATAAAGATTTACAAAAAGCAATAGAATTTATTGAACAATTATAAAATATAAATTATTTTCTATTTTCAAATATAAATAAATATATTTTTTATATTATTAAATATTTATTGTATTACGATTACAATTTTATTATTATTTTTTAATATTTTTTATTCAAATATATAATAAACTATATATTATACTAGGCAATACCAACATCTCTGCACCCAACTTCTGGGGTACTTGCTTGGAAGGATAATCATCAGATTGTGCAAATAAGTCCTAATTGGGACCCAAGGAAAAGGATTTGATTGGGAGAGTAGTCTGAAAGT